CTCGGGTCCCGTGTCTCTGGAGCTTCTCTGCTGCAGAAGCGTCCTGCCGAATCCTGTCCCTAATCCACCAGTGTACTTTTCCTCAGGATGCGAGGTCCACTGGCCACTGAACCCCACGGGAGAAGTACAGAGACAGCGAAAGCTAGAATGTCCATGAGCCAGTCACGAGGGAGTGCAGCCCCCCAGAGAGATTGGGCCGCCGGTAGTGATACAAGACTCAGACTTGGCTCAGTCTGTGCTACAGCTTTATTGTCTGCAACCTAATTCTCTGCAGCCCAATTCTCTGCAGCCCAATTCTCTGCCTAAGACATTTATACCATGGGGGTAGTGGTCCTTTCAGAGCCAAAGGCCATGTTTATGTTATGGCATTTGTGGCGGACACTTCAAAAGGAGAGACAGGAAAGATGCCAGGAAGACACCCTGCTTATGAAAGGAGCCCGCAGCACATGATCCCGAGCTGCATGAGCTGTCTGGTCGTGAAGGGGCTTCTACTTTGCATAACAGAGGTCCCCAACAACTAACCAGGAGGAAAATGCGTGAACACCTCGTGATCATCATAGTAGTGCATTGAAAGGAGCCTGTGTGCCCTACGTGACCTTTCACAGGATTGGAGAATAGGTTCCTGACCATGCTAATGACTGTGGTTTTTGCCTTTATAAGCATTGTAACACTTACAATAAACGAGTTCCTGCATGACTAAACTCCCTGCTGCGTCTGAGAGTCTCGGGGAGGCTGGTGAATGGGCGAGCGGCGCCCTTACCCCTCCTCGGCCCCCATCGCTGAGCTCCACGTCCTGCATCGCTGGTGGGGAGGAGGCTCGGCACATCGACAGTTGAATGAAGAAAAGGTACTGCATATATACACAATAGAATTTTAAAGAAAAATGAGATTGCAACATTCATAAGAAGACAAATGGAACTTTAGATCTATTTGTTAAGTGAAAGAAGCCGGATTCAGAAAGACAAATATCATGTTTTCTTTCATCTGTGAAAACCTAGATTAAATTTATATATACATGTGCATAAATCTGTACATGTATACGTAGGTGATGAAAGTAGACAAGGACCATGGAGGGAGAGGATCAGAGGGGAGGACAAGAGAGGTAATGAAACATGTGACATGGAAGCAGAAGGCAGGACTATTTGGTAGAAGAAAGAGGCCAACAAGAGTGAGGGAGGGGTGCATTGTATGGGGCGAATCATAACAAACTAGAATGATCTATAGGGATGAAAATGTCACAGTGAAACCCATTACTTCATATGCTAACCTGAAAAAAAGGAGGACGGGGAAGCAAAGGGGGAAAGAAGAAGGCGGGAATAGAGCTTGGTTGTAGAGCACACCCCTGATGTGTGAAAACTTATGTTGAAGCCACAGTATCGCCAAAATAAATAAAAGATTAAATAAATTAGTCTATAGTTAGAGACTTTAATCTTTGGAACTCTGCTACATTTACTAAATTCCCTTCTTGGTTCTCAACTTTCTTTTTCTGAGAGACTGTCAATACTGCTCCAAGGCCTTCTGGATCTCAGACTGACTTTGCTTTTAACGACCAATTGTCTTTTCATCATCTTTTCCTACTGCTTAAGTGAAAGTTTGAAATGGTCACTCAGTTCCTTTGTTCTTTAATTAGCATTTACCCTGCATCTTCATATGCTTGCTACAGATAGCTCGCATTCATGCCTTCTAGACTCTAGGTTCTGCAGATGAAAGTCTTAAAAATTTTGAGGGGCCGTTGGTGCTCCACAAGTACTGTTGAAGTGTTCACTGTCAGCCTGGCAGTGGTTCATCTCATTCTAAGCTCCATCCCATAATGCTGGTGTCCTGATGGTTTAGAGGGAAGTACTACTTGTCATTCTGTCTTGTGAATTCCAATTACATATTGTAAATTATTGAATACTGCCCTAGAAGTTATAGAACCTGTTTTTATACTTTTCCAGTCTCTGTTCATCACAATAGATAACTTCTACTAATCATTTACTACTTCATTGATCATCTTTTGGCAACCTGATGCTTAGCAAATATTTCATCCCAGAAATGGGACATTTTAAGTTTCCTTTGTATTTTTATAGTTTCCATTTCTCTGTTGATATTCTCTATGTCCTCTCTCGGTTATTCTTTCCTTTAACATATTTAGTATACTTACAGTAAGTTCTTTCAAGTTCCATCTCCTTAGTTTCAACATCTGAATTTCTTGAGGTCTGTTCTACAGACCAGAGGATTTTGATGAGAGCTGTACAAAGACCAATGAAATGTGGTAAATGGGGGCTGGAGAGATGACTCAGCAGTTAAGACCACGAGCTGCTCTTGCAGAGGACCCAGGTTCCATTCCCAGCACCCACATGTCAACTAACAACTGTCCATAACTCCAGTCCCAGGAGATCCAATGCTTGCTTTTGACCTCCACAGGCATTGCATGACACGGGTTCACTTACATACATGCAGGCAATGCACTCATACACATAAAATAAAAAATAATAAATAAAATATTAAAAAAGAAATGTGGCAAATGACATAAATAGGTCTACACCAGTCAACAACACCACCCTTTTTGAAGAGTTACAGTCAAAAGAGATGGTGGTGGTGGTTGGACCATGGGAAGCAGCATTAGCGTGAGTGCATAGGCTTGGGATTTGGACCATCAGGTCTTGCCGATAAGTTGGAGACTGGAGGGAAACAGAAGAAAATTAAATGACAACCTGTAACTATTATACTCTGTGAGAGTAAAATTAACTGTTCATTTTTTAGCTGTAACAAGATAAGGCATATGTTTGAGAAGGGGAAGACCAAGAGTTCAGCCTGTTCATGCTGAGTGGGAGATACCTACTAGCAATCCAATTACAGATGCACTGAACTGCACTTGCCCATGAGCTGGAGCTCAAGACTGAGGACCTGGATGATGCCAACTTGGAAGTCAAAGGTATATGGATGGTATTTTAAAGCTACAAGTCTAGGGAAGCATTTGTGATCCTTTGTGCACTTAAATGGTTATGGGTGTGAGCAATAAGGGGATATGAGAAAAGGGTCTAAAATTAAGTACAAGGAGAAACACCAGAATGTGGGATGCAAGGGAAGAAGTGAAGATTATGACTCAAAAAAGAGCTTGTCACATGCTGCTGATCACCAGGAAAAGAAAGAACTGAGAACCTAGTCTTCAGTGCATTAACCCACTTCAACTCTAGGGTTTGTCTACAAAATACATTAATGTATTAATCAATACGGTTATCTTAACGTGGCTGGGAGTTTAAATTCTGAAAGCGCTTAGCTTTTAATTAGCTGAATTCCTGAGAGTCCTATCTGAGATCTTTTCAGCATTTTATCCAGAATAGTGATTTTATCAATTAGAATAATTGTATTCTACATGTCACTTGAATGTCAATTTATGGATTCCTAGTCACTTTCTCCTTCCAATAACATTTATTTAAGTTAATCTAATATTTAGATTCTTGAGAATAGTTCAACAGTGAAATGGGCACTCATGTCCCTTCTACTGCAGTGATACACTGCTTGCCACAACTGCCCTACATAAATGGGAATGTGCCCATCAGATATGGTGTTTTTATGTATCTAGTATTCCAAAAACTGTATCATTAAATACAGCTGCTAAAATATGGTCTCAGCACAATGGATGTAAAAACTGCTTTCTATAGAAAAATCAAAAGCTTGCCTTAAATATCTGAGTGGAATGAAGAATGTAGAGTCTGGCCACCATAAAAACGTTTTCCAAATGCACAGGCACTTGTTGAAGGGTGGTGAAACAGAGATCCATCCATGCTCTGTTTCAGAAAACCTCAGTATTGTGGAAGGGACACTTACAATTAGTTCATGCAGAATATATGCTCCTTTGTGACCAACCTAGAGGAGGTATCTTTCTTTTATAGGAACACATTTGCATATCTGCATATAGAGGAACTTTCTATGGAAAGACACCTGCAAAAATGTGACTTTATTCTGACGGATTCAGATAAGAGTTATAAACTCACTCCAAAGTTGGTAGAGCCTCAGTATTTCCAGTATCTTGGGTAGACGTGTGCAAGCTAGGCCAAAGGATGGCCTTAGTGTTGTCCAAAAGCAGCATGGTTTAGAATTGTGGGCAAACGTTTCTTCCGAAGGCTTCCTATATCTGGAAACATTTTGATTGCTGTGACAACTGAGGAGGAGCACTCAGGCAAACTGCTTCTAGTTAGAGTACAGGCCATGAGAGGCGCTAAACTTGAATCATTCATATATGTTTATAAGTTATCATTGCCGATGCACTCACTTCCTGAAAAATGGAAATAATCAGCTCCAAATGTCAGCAGTGCCAGACGAGAAACTTTGTCAAAAGCATTATTGTGTAAGAATATCTGTAATATCTCAAATCTAATTTTACGTTTAACATGTGCCTGCCATCCCTAGGATGTGTTGTTAAGGAAATTTTGTCATATGCTGTTCCAATTCTAGTGAAATGTAGCCTCTTGAGGTTTCCACGAGGTTGTTTTACTTGAAGGTGATTATTTCTACCTATTCAAAAATGAAAACCCTGACTCTGAATAAGTTTCGATTTTTTTGCTCTCTGGGCCTGTGCGATCGAGCTGCCATTCTCCTGCATAGCAAGGAAGTGCTGCGCATGCCAACAGGTGGACTTACTGGAGCTGACCTGTGTCTCCCAAGTTCAGAGGCGGCTGCACGCAGATGGGAGGAGCTGAGGGAAAGGCAAGGAGCAGCAGCCCCTGCGCCAGCCACTGGAGTACCAGGCAGGACCCACGTGCGTACGGAGCCGTGGCCTCAGTGTAGAGGCGAGGCCAACCGGACGGAGTGGGCGTGGCCTCAGGGCGGAGGCGGGGTCTTCGAGAGGGCAGAGGCGGGGCGGGGAGTGGAGGCGGGGCTTGAGAGGGACGAGGGTGGGGCAGGAGGGAGAGCGGAGGCGGGGCCTCATGACGGGGCGGGGCTTGGGGTGGTGGGCGGGACCTGCGGTATGGGGTGGGCGGGGCCTGCGGGCAGAGGCGGGGCCGCCGGGCTGCGCGGAGGCTGGCTTGCGCCAGGCGCGCACTCGCTCCGGAACATGGCGGCGGAGCCCTTGGTGGCCGCGTTGGCTGGTGGTGGCGGTGGGGGCGTGGGGGCGCCGTCGGGCGGCGTCCCTGTGCTCTTCTGCTTCTCGGTGTTCGCGCGGCCGTCGTCGGTGCCTCACGGCGCGGGCTACGAGCTGCTGATCCAGAAGTTCTTGAGCCTGTACGGCGATCAGCTGGACATGCACCGCAAATTCGTGGTGCAGCTCTTCGCGGAGGAGTGGGGCCAGTACGTGGACCTGCCCAAGGGCTTCACGGTGAGCGAGCGCTGCAAGCTGCGCCTCGTGCCTCTGCAGATCCAGGTAGGTCCCGGCGTGCTCCTCCCGGCTGCGCCGCGTCCCCGCCCCCGAGCTCCTCAGGTGCCCGCCTGGCCTGCGCCCGGCCGCTGGAAGAACCCGCGTGGAAGGACGAGGAAGGAGGGCCGGTCCCCAGCCACCCCATCCCCAGCCGCCCTCTCCCCAGCCGCCCTGTCCCCATCTGCCCAGTCCCCAACAGCTCCTTCACCAGTTGCCCCTTTCCCAGCTGCCCCTTTTCCAGGTGCCCTGTCCCCAGCAGCCCCTTCCCCAGTTGCCCCTTTTCCAGGTGCCCTATCCCCAGCAGCCCCTTCCCCAGCTGCCCTGTCCCCAGCAGCCCAGTCCCCAGCTGCCCCGTCCCCAGCTGCCCGGCCCTCAGCTGCCGGGCCTGGGGCTGCAACCCGCCGCCCTATGTGGTCCTGCCTCGGCAACGGCTGTGTGCTGGCCTCCCTGCATGGCCTTGCGGTCTCGGTTTCATTTTGATGGGTGCTGCAGAACCAAAGGAAAGACATTGAGAGGAGTGTTGGCTTAGGGCTTGTTCCCAGGAGTTGTATTAACCACTTGCGAAGAGCAAACTTTACCGCCCTTCTCTTACTCTCCCTTCCATTCTGTTCCATTGGGGTCTCCAACATACAGCCCGGGGTCGGGGGGCGAGAACGGACGACCTGCAATACCCTCTTAAATAACCACTTAACCCTAGACTATGAATTCCTGGTCCTGCTGCTGAGGAAGTTATACCTAAGGATTAGTAAAGAGTTATATTGTTAATAAAATCAGAGGATTCACTTTTTGTTGTTTGGTTTTCTTTTTTCTTTTTTTTCTTCATTTTTTTGAAAGGGAAGACTTAAGATTTAATTTAAGTACTACACATGTGTAGTTTTTATCCGTAGAACTGAAACGTATTTTTTTTCCCCTCTGGAAGATGAAATTGAAATATGGCATTTGAGGTTAGAAGGAATTTTCCCATCCAAGTGCCCATTTGAGTTTTATCACCTGTAGTCAGGTGCTGCCCCAAACCCCAGGACCTTTTCTGAAAGATCCAAAGCAGGTACTTTAACCTAGTTAAAGTTCTTAACCTTCAGAGGACTAAGTACATGGGATTTCACTGTCCTCTGCCTGGAGGCAGAAGTAGCTAGAGCAGTCTGACACCCTGAATCTGCCCTGCTGCCCAGGTGGAGAATTGCATTCTTTGGAGTTTAAGATTCTCCATTTTCGTTTCTTTGAGAGTTCTCCTAGCTGAGGCTTCTCAGCATTTCTTGTCAGTTTAGATGTCGCTACACCTTTGACAGATCCATTTTATAAAGACTCGCATGGACAAACTCAGGTCTGGGGGTGTACTGAAGAGATGGGCTTCTTTGTCAGCCATTTCTAGTTGCTCTTGGGGAGGAGAGAGGGCTCACACTTAAGACTGTTTGTGCTGAACTATAAAACTGGCTCTCACACTTGTAAGTTTTCCTTTTTTCTCCTGTGCCCCAGGGTAAGATTTTTATATTTTGAAATTTTCAAGATGTGACAACTCTGAATAAATAGTCTGAAAACTACTAACATGGATGTGTGTGTATATCTATCTCTATATATGAAATGTGCATGCTGAAAAGGCAGTGTATAATTCAAGTCACTGGCTTTGGAAGTATTTTATGTATAATCAGTTTTTTGTAATGATGTAAAAAAAAAAACCCTTTATAACAGTAACAGTACACTTTTCTAGCCACTAAAGCATAATATTTTTCCTCATTAAATTCAAGAATTTTTAAGCTCATCAGTTATATATGTTTGTATTTTGAAGTACTTAAAATACTTTTATATTCCCTCATTTTAGTACTCATAATACTTTCTTTCAATCATACGCCTCTCCCATCATAACTGTAGACATTATGAAGGATATCTTGTATACCAATGCACTCCCACCTGCCTTTTGATGCATTTTTGTATGCATGTAAGGTGATATATTTATACATCATACATGTACACACATGTATATATGTGTGTGGGTCTACTCTTAGAAAAGGTGCTTATTTTCATAACTACTGCATTTTCTGAAACACATCTATATAACCCTAGGACGGATGTTTTATGTCTAGAAGATTCCACAGCTTAGTAGCATCTTTGGGTACATAACATAGTGGATGCAAGCCTGGATTCACTTATTGTTGGAAATGATCATCTATTTCATTTCTCAGAAGAGCAGCACATTTGGAGGTAGGGATGTTAGAAAACTGCCCTGATTTGGGGGCTGGGATTGGGAAGCTAGCAAGCAGGAGTAGGCCTCAGCAAACACCTGCCATTGCATTTCTATTTTCTGTTCATGCTTAATGAGGTATTGAGAAATCTGGAAAATAAGCCACAAATGTGAGCCCTTTTTTTTCATTGCTTTCTTAGAACAAGCACCTGTCACTTGGGGTGACTGTTGGGGAGACATGCTGATGGGGATGGGGAACCCCTTCCCCTTTCATGAATTGAGTTTAATGTGCAGTCCTATGCTTAAATAGTGTCACTTATTATTTCCCCAAATAGGGTCCTAGGGTCTCTGTGGCCCTAGCTCATAGGCTCATTCTAGAATCTACTCTTAATTTGCCTTCATGTTTGCTGTGACTGCTGCAGCTAGTGACTTTGTGAAACAGTGGTTGTTTTGTGCCACATTCCTCCTGTTGTTGGCAGCGCTTCTCTGGGAACTGATCTGGAAGACCTCTGTTGCCAGTACTTGTCTGTGGTAACTTTTTAGTGTCTCCTTTTTGAAAAAATATCCTGTCAGAGTGACTAAATGTCTGCTGATAGCTCAGGTAGCTGAGGACATAGCTCATGTTTCATGCATGGTTTATGTGTCTGGAGTCTGATGAATTTAGAGACATGGGGGACAGAATGTAAGTGAGAGGATTAAATAGTGGGAATTCAGGTCATTTTTATGACTTACTTGTTTTCATTTTTCAAAAAGGTATTTTCCAAGTCTTGACAGAAACATGGAGCAGTGGAGACTCATGTAAAGCCAGGGCATTGTTTCAGACTTTGACGAGGGCAAGTAGCACCCGAGCAGGAGACAGGAGGAAATGGATGCTGTCAGGACACCTGCTAAACTTTGCTGTTATATTGGGAGAGGAGGCTTTGGCAGCTTTGTGAGAGCAGGAGGTAAGGGCTTCCCGATGAAGGTTAACCTTTCCTCAGGTGGTTAGTTGGGAAGGAATTTGGTTCTACCTTTTATGTATTTGAAAGTTTTTTTTTATTGTTATTATGATGAGTGGAGCACAGACATTTTACTAGAGAGTTGATATTCAGAAAGGTGGAAAGGCAGATTCGGAAATGGGGAAGGGAATGTGGGCTGCCAGTGGCTGGCTGGTTGGAAGGTCATGACTTTCAGATCTTTGCTGTGGGAGCATGGCAGCAAGAACACCTGGATAAGCCTGTGCTCAGACCAAATGGGGAAAATGGCAGGGTATATCTGGGCTGTGGGGTGCTTTGGGGACACTAGGAAGAGGCAGCTAGATCCTGAGTCATGGTGTTGTCTAGCCCGTTGGTTTGATGGACAAGGGGATAAGAGTATATGGGCATATGGGCTGTTTAAAAACGTTCAGTATTGCAAAATAATACCCAAAGCACTGTGTACTTTTTGTTCCCTGTGAATAGATTAGCAGCTACCTATAAATAAACTGAACATGAGAATGTGAGCTATGACCTGCATTTGAATTTTTTCCTTATATTAGCCAAGGGGAATCTTAATGTAGATTTAAATGTCAATGTGCTGTGAGGGCTTCACCTTCATCCCAGGGTGAGGCACACACAGTCTTAAGAGATCCTTGAGTCCTCAGCTCTCAGTGGGTGGAGACAGCTGATGTCTCTGCCCTCCCCCCACTCTCCAGTCGGACAGCTTATACTTTACGTGGTAAGTTGCAGGTGTAATGTTAGACCAGGAATATCAATATATTGTGAATCAATACTGACCGGAATATCAGTGTATTGTGAAAACAGAAGTTAAATATACTCTTGACATCAAAATGAAAATGGCCAGAAAGAAATCATGTAGTGTTGAGTCTTTTGGTGATTCTTGGAATCACTTTTGAATCACTTTCTTAATTCTGCAGAGTAAGCTAATATAACTGATGTTCACACAGTTTCTGAAGAGATTTTAATAGTAAATAATTTTTAACCGCATTAGAGTGCTTTCTGACCTGTGCTGACTGTAGAGTGCAGTGTTTCATAGGATATCACAACAGTCTAATACATTTATTGATGGATCATAAGTAGTATGTTTAATCCTTGAAATAGCTATACAAGAAATGGTATTTTGTTTTTTTACTGTGTTAAAGATAAGGGAATTTTTTGGGGAGATGCCAATTCCTTACCCCAATACATGTAATTGAGCATAGTTAAACTGAGATTTGGACTTAGATTCTAATCCGCACATGCTAGTACTATATGAGACTCCTTGTAGACTGTGTGTGTGCTATGGGAGGTTCATCTGACAGTCTTCTGTTTTACATGAGTGGACACTGGAGCAGGGCCTTACAGTAGCTGTGTGATTGAAACACTGGAGACTCAAATACTGATGCTGTAGATCCTCATCAACAACAAGCTCTCACTCAAGTATGTCGTGTATCTTGTGATTAAAATAGACTTTCAAATCTTTAAGAATAATCATCTGTTTTTAAATCTTTCTCATCCCTAAACATGTAGTTTCTACATTGTAGTACAGAGGCTATTGTTACAAGCACTCTTAACTGAGTGCCTTAAGCAACCAAGACATTCTCATAGTTCTGGAGGCTGGAGTCCAAGGTCAGGGGTTGGCAGGCCTGCCTCTTTCTGAGGGCTGTAGGGAAGTCTCTTCCATGCTTCTCTCCTGCCTTGTGGTTTATTGGCAGACGATGACAACAAATCACTCCACTGTCTACCTTCATGGTTGCAGGGCTTTCTTTCTCTGTGTGTGTCCATCTTTCTGTCTCTCTGCGTAAATGTCTCCTTTCCATAAGGACACCAGCCATATTGGATTATTTACCCATCTTACATAAAGTTTGACTTTATCTTGAGTAAAGTTATCTTCAATCATTCTGATGACTCAAAAGGTCACCCTCTAAGGTATTGGGGGTTAGGATTCTAAAGTATGAATGCTGGGAACACTGTTAATGATATGATACCATGTATTATTTTTTATGGAGGGATTAGAAAGTATATCACTAAGTCAGGCCAACCATTTTGTATTCCTCGGTGGCCAGCAGGCAGATTCCTTGCACACATAACAGTCATTCTGTAAATGGGTCAGGGCACATGTGGTCACAAAGAAATATGGTCAGGGTAACAGTCATCTTGAAGTCTGTCTATGAAAAATCTGTTGACTTTGAAATCTAAGATCAGATCTAAGTTGTGGCAGTTCTAAAGGTTGTAGACAAAGATTTTCTACTTAAATTCTCTCAAAATCTTGTTTGAAGAAATCATTAGCTATAGTAATCAACCTTTTATATTTAAGTTTATATATTCATGGGTATGTACAGGAAAAGGCCCAGGTATTTCTGCATGTGATTTCTTCGTGCTTCTTGAGTACCTGCTGGCATGTGCTGGCTGTATTTTCACTTCAGCTATTTTGTCAAGTCCTCTTTCTCTGACAGCCTTGGCTATCTTGCTGTTGTGACATGCAGTTCTTTTAATTATCTAGAATACTTTACTTTGAGAAAAAATTGAATGTCAAGGTGAGAAATTCTTGAATTATATAATTGCAACAGTCCCCTGTTGGATTTGATATGAATTTGGGGAAAGGGAGTGGAGAAGATCAGGTGGGTGACATGGTAGACATTTTTGCTTTTTTCTTGGTAGCCTGAACCCACCTTTCTGGCTTGTTAGATATGGAGGCTCCCCTGGCTTCCATCGCATAGGGAGGCCATTTTTATTTTAAATAAGCCTTTCATTGCATTGTAGAATAGTTATCTACGCTAACATTGCGTAGATAGCACAAAGTTTCTGTATCCCTTTACCCAGATTCCTCTATTGTTAATGACTTAGTTGATGTGTTAGAACCAAGCAACCAGCAGCATACTCAATTTTTCTTAAAGTCTACTTTCTATTATTAATTTTGTGTATATATGTATGTCTCAGGCGGAGGGTCTATATATGTGAATGCAAGTGCCTGTGTAGTCTAGGAGAGGGCATTGGATCCTGTCAACCCAGAGTTATAGGCAGTTTTTTGAGCTGCTGGTTATGGGTGCTAGGAACTGAAATCCTGGGTTCTCTTGTAGCCACTGAGCCATATCCCCAGCCTGTGCACTCTGGAATTTGCTAGCTCTTCCCTCCTGTCTGTTTTCTGTTCCATATTTCAGGATGAACTTATGATCCCATCCAAGGTCCCAGTGAAGTCCTCTTGCCATGCCTCCTGATTCCTATGAGCTCTGACACCCTTTCTTTGACTTTGATTGTTACTCATGACCTTCACAGTGTCATGGAGTACCAGGCAGGTGTTTTGTTGATGGTCCCTGGGTTTTCATTTGTCTAATGTTCTTCTTACGGATAGACTGAGATTGTAGGACTGTGAAGGTCCCAGAAGGTCATTCCCGTCCTGTCATGTCAAGGATCACCTAGCTAATCAGTTTGTCAGGTTTTTCCTGTGTGGTGGGTAGTCACTCTCTTGCCTTTACACTCTAAGGCAGACTGCTCTAAATGCAACACATTCAAGGGTATGCAGAGAATATGTGTGAAGGTAGAATATCTGTGACTCACACGGTCAAAAACCACCATCTCCACATGAAGACATGTCACTCTCTTTGTTTACTGGGCTTATATATGAGGAGTTCCTATACCAAGAAAGGAAGAAAGGTTTTTTGGGTATGGAAGACTTTAGGGCTGTTTATAGCCTCAGTCAGAGTCTAATAGCAAATAGATGAGATTTGGTCCACTCTCAGCTAAAAGAGGTACCCAGAAATACTGAGTTTAACTATAGGACCTCTGAGGCCACAACTCTGAATAATATTCAGAGGATTTCTGGCTAGGTAATGATTTATTCCTTTAAATTTTCTAACTTAATATTTTGACTATTTTATCTTATCACCCTTCTTATAGTCCTTCTGTATCTTATTTGACATATTTTAATTTTAATATTTTAATGAGTCTAGATTGATGTTTTCCTAATTTAGAACAGGGTTACTCTCTTGCTGGACTCCTGCAGAACCGAGTTTGGATTGCTTTTCTTATTTTGGATCTTTTTTTCTGTCTCCTTTTAGTTTGTTAACTGTTAGTTTACCTTCCCCCAGCACTTTGCTTTCTGACTGTTGATTGTAATTTCCTATGAATTTAAACTCCATAGCACCAATCTTGTAGGGGCATCCAGTGTTAGACAGTGCAGACTGGGTAGTATTTGAGAAATGGGCGTATCAGGGTGTGGCCACAACACACTTAGGTAATGACTAGAGGTTTGTTTTGCAAACTTGCTAGTGAAATGCCATGCTTGGCTGGGTTGTATTACTATCATTTCAGATCAGCCTCTTTCAGGTACACTGTTTTAAATCATCTACCCTAATTATATTGGCAGTGACTTACTTATTATGGTTTAAATTTGTGAAAAGAAAATATGTAGATTTTGAGCCTTCTGAACCAAAATTTAATGTGTATTGACGATTTAAAAATGCATAGTCAAAAGTAGTGACTGTTTTTTAAAACAATATCCTAAATGCACAGAAATCGGTCTTCTTGGCTCCTATGTGCAGGTCACACTCCAGACTTTTAAGAATGACTAGAATGCAGGCCCAAGCCTGGTGAGATGGCTCAGTAGGTAAGGGCACTTGTTGCCAAGCCTAACATCCTGTGTTTGACTCCCCAAACCCTTATGGTGGAAGGAGAGAACAGGCTCCCACAAGTTGTCCTCCGACCTCTATACCCACCCACACACATTCACTAAATAAATAAATAAATGTTGAAAATGAGGCATAATTTCAAAACAGAATAAGGAAGCAGCCAAATCTAGAATATGAAATTGAAAGTACTTGAACATTTATTTTAATTGTGCTTTAATTGACAGAGTAAGGATACAGCTATCCACGGTGTTAAATGACAGGTGGTTCTCTTAGTGTAACTGGTGCTGGTTGCACACTGTGAAGGAGCGTGCATTCTGTAGTGTCAGTAGCATTAGGCAAGTAAAGTACTGGAGTCTCTCAGGCCAGAACATAGACAAAATAGAGCACAGAGCCATTAGAACAGCCACCACTTTGGGGATGGCAGAGTAGTTTCAGTGGCTCCTTGGATTCCTGTTTCCTCCGGAGTCTGCTGTGTGCCGTGATGGTGAGGCAGCATTTAGGGCTGAGCTGCTGCAGAGGCTACGGCTGTGGAATTGGGACACAGACTCCTTCAGGAAATTATTAAGAATTGTTATCTGTGGGTGGCCTTTGGGGGTGGAAAAGACGACAAGAGTTTTAGTGGGTGACTGGGAAGAGCAACGATGCTGGTTCCTTGAGGACCAAACACATTCTTTGCAGAACTTTCTGTAATTTGCAAGGTGAAAAGAGAAGCACCGTGAGGCCAAATCCTTGTATTCAGTAATCTGTTAGCACCCTCCTAGATCCTCACTGGGCCCAAATTGGTAGAGTAGGCTAACTGTAGCAACAGATGTGAAGCTTGGAAGCCCAATGCCCAGTTTTCTTCTTAATTCATTGGTTTTCCTGATCGTGATAAAAACATGTAAGAATGCAGGTGTCACACTTGGGTCTGTTCCTTTCCCAGCAGTTCACCTACTGTTGCACTCCAGAAAATACTCCTGCAAATAGCACTTTAATATTCTTATCTGTATAGCAATCATTTTGTATTTGCTCTGAATTTTTCTGTTTCTATTTAGTTTTTATGTTTCATGGTCTCTGATACAGATTTTTTTAAAATGTTATTTTCTTTATATGCATTTTTAAATTTAATTTTTGTGCCTATGAGTAATACTGCCATCAGATTCATATTTTACTGTTACAAATATTTTTTCTGATTATGAAGATAATATCTTCATAATGTTATTACATTCAGAAAATGTGTTTAAATAGATTCAGAAAATATAAGAAGGGTCTAAGAAAAAAATATTCAACTTGTATAGCTACCTGCTAACATTTTTGGTTTTTGCTTTTTTGTTCATATTTGTATGCCATTGAAATACTATTAAACTGTATTGTTTTAAAACCTAAAATTATCTGGTAAGGACTGGAGAGATGACTCAGTGGTTAAGAGCACTGGCTGCTCTTGCATAGGACCCAAGTTTGATTCCCATCATCCACATGGAGGCTAACAACCATCTATATCTCCAGTTCTAAGGGAATTTGATGCCCTCTTCTGACCTCCTTGGGCACTGCACGACACGGGTGCACTTACACACATGCAAGTCATTCACATACAATAAAAATAATAAAACATTTAAAAATTATATGGTAAGCATTTCTGCTTAGATGAAGGAAATTCTTTGGAAACACCCCCCCCACACACACACACACACACAGGTTTTGTTTTTGTTTTTGAGACCAGGTCTCCCTGTAGTCCCAGCTATCCTGGAACTCACTATGTAGACTAGGCTGGCCTTGAACTCACAGAGAGCAGCCTGCCTCTGCCTCCTGAGGAGGGGACTGGGATTAAAGGCGTGTGCCACCACGCCTGGCTTACATAAATTTGTTGAATTGGTTAAAAATGTTTTGCTATCTGAATGTATTAAAATGTGTTTAAATATTTATGTAATGTTGGGTCTTGTTATATTTCTTGTTTCACTCCCAACTGAAGTTTGGAGAACATCTTAGTGTCAATATCTTTTTTCCTGTAATTCAGATAATTTCTTTCCTGTAGTATTAGTTGTATAAATTAACTTACAACTACTGGTACAGACAGTAGGAACATTTGTCTTTTTTGTATTGGTCTCTACTGGAAATAAATGTCATTATATAACAAGTGCTAAATCATTCTGTTTTCTTTTTCCCTCAGCTCACCACCCTGGGGAACCTTACACCTCCCAGCACTGTGTTTTTCTGCTGTGATATGCAGGAACGATTCCGACCAGCCATCAAATATTTTGGGGATATTATTAGTGTGGGACAGAGACTGGTATGCTTGTTTATTTATCTGCCAATCTGCTGAGTGATGGTATGCATTCATACCTACTCACATAGTTTCTGTATTTTGTTTGGTTGCTCTTTCAGTTGCAAGGAGCTCGGATATTAGGAATTCCAGTTATTGTAACGGAACAATACCCCAAAGGTCTGGGCAGCACTGTCCAAGAGATTGACTTAACAGGTGTGAAACTGGTGCTTCCAAAGACCAAATTTTCAATGGTATTACCGGAAGTCGAAGCAGCGCTAGCGGAGATCCCTGGAGTCAGGAGTGTTGTGTTGTTTGGAGTCGAAGTAAGTACCTCCTCTTGTGTTTGGAAAACTTGATGTTTTCAGAATACAGTCTCGTATATAGAGTACTAGTAGGTAAGTAATAATGATGGAAAAGAGCCACAGCTTAGTATGTGTTCACCACCTGCTGGAGATGATCTAAACTCCTTATAGCTGTTATTAAGCCTTCACAACAGCCCTGTGAGCTGAGTACCCTTTGTCTCCCAGTATCACAGATAAGGAAACTAAAGTAGAGATGTTGCGTAACTTGCCCAAGGTCAGGCTCCTCGGGGCCAGATTTCAGTCTAGGCCAATTGATCTATGCCTATACTTTTTTTTTTTTTCCAATTGAATTTTTATAAATTTCATACAATATATCTTGATCATATTTAGATCCCCTTCTATATCTGTACCCCCTTTGCCATCCCCTCACAAAATTTCATATATATATGTATATGTATATGTATGTATGTCTGTAGAGTCAATGTCTTTCAGTGTGGGTTCATTCACTGGAGCCTGGTCAACGTACCAGCAGCCTCACCCTCACAAGACTGAGTCTCCCTTCTCAGAAGCCATTGGTTGCCAATAGTTCCTCAGGTAAGAATGGGGCTTTCTTATCTACTTCCCTGTGTCTATGCTGGGTATTTTTCTGGTTTGAGCTTACATGGGGCTTGTGCATGCTGTCGCCATTGCTGTGAATTCATATGAGTAACTGACCAGCTGTCTTGAAAACTCTGTTTCTTTGTGGTCATCTACCTCCTTTGGCTCTTACAAACTGTCCATCCCCCTCTTCTGTGCAATGATCCCTGAGCCTTGGGAGGCAGAAGTTTGTTATAGGTGTCCTATTCAGGGACAGGCAGTCTGCAATCTCTTATTCTCTGCATGTTGGCCAGTTGTGGTTCTCTGGGTTATTCACCATCTGCTGTTATAGGGAGGCTTCTTTGGTGAGAGTTGAGAGATGCATTAATCTATGGCTATAATAATAAGCCATTATAAATCAGTTTAATACTATATCTATTTAGCAGAATAATTATAAATAGGATCTCTCCCATGGTGTGTACGCTGTCTAGCCTCAGGTTCCTAGATCCCCTCCCCCATCTGTACCCCCCACTACCCCCTACCCAGTTTCATCAATTTCATATACTGTGTGTGTGTGTGTGTGTGTGTGTGTGTTTGTGTACACAGAGGCCTTTAGAATCAAACTTGTGGGCCCATCCTCTGGAGCCTGGTCAGCCAATCTACTAAGAGTCTCACTCTGAAATGAGACTGTCTCCCCTGTCCCAGCAGTCATTAATTGCCAGAACTTCCTCAGGTAGGCACAGGGTTTCTTACCCACCTTCCCACACCCATGCTGAGATTTTGTCTGGCTTGAGTTTATGTGGGACTTGTGCATACTATCACCATTGCTGTGAGTTCATATGATTACCTAGCTGTCTGGAAAACTGTTTCCTTTAACAGTCTTTTCACCTGGACCTGTACTTTTAACTGCTGGCTTTGGAACACATTTTCCCTACAGGCATGATTTTTATTTATGTGTTGAAGGACTTCTTTTTGGTCACTCTTCTGTGATATAAAAACCCTCAAGGTTATATAGTTCATTGTCCTTCAAATAGGAATTGTGTACATGCATTATAAAGGCAAAAATACTCATGGATTCCTGTGTTCATACATTATAAAGGAAAAAAGACTCAAGGATTTCTGATTTTTAATTTCAATTTATTCCTTTTTTAATTTATTACTTTTTTTTTGAGATAGGATCTTGCTGTGTGGTCTGGAACTCACAATGTAATCTAGCCTGACCTGGCCTTGAACTCCCAGTAATCCTCCTGCCTCCTTCTTGAGTACTAGAATTGCAGGCCTGTTGTGCTACCACACCTTACTTATTTCTAAGTTTTAAACATGTTATACTAAAAGTTAAAAAATTATGAAAAAAAACTATTAAGACAATGCAGTAAAAATAATGTAATAGGGTTATATTTTGGATAATAGAATTTCATGGTGGAAGGATGTAATCTTAAATTTAGATACCCATTAAGTGTTTTTATACTTTTAGTTTAATAACGAGAGGACACCTATTTGTGTAAATACGCCACACAAATGCAGTTGCTGACTTTTGTACAATTTTTTCTCCTTCACCATAATGAACTCTACTGCTCAATCAAAATATGTAGTAGAGTGCTTTAGTACTAACCCTAATAAGGTGTTATTGGTCATTCATCAAAGCTTAGTTGCCAAGTGAAGACAAAGCTTACATTGTTAAATATGCTTTCAAGACCACCGGCTGCTCTTGGAGAGGACCTGGGTTCAGTTACCAACACCCACATGATGGCTGACAGTTGTCCATAACTCCAGTTCCAGGGACTCAGATATCTTCTTCTGACGTCTGTGGGTACTTTGCACATGTGGTGTACTTAAATACATGTAGGCAAAACACCTGTACACATAAAATAAAATAGAAATGAAATAAAATAATAAAATATAAAATAAAATATGCCTTCTTTGGTTATATGCCTCAGTTACTATGGGAGTGTCTTTTTGCTTTTTAGTCTCTGCTAAGGAATTGCTACAAGTTAGTGTTTATAAAGATAGTGTATATAATGTATAATGCAGTTGTTGGTGAGGAACACAGAGTAATTCCTGATTTTCAGATGAATAAATCAAAGCTAGAAAATGCTGATTCATGCCAGGCATGGTGGCGCATGCCTTTAATCCCAGCGCTCCGGAGGCAGAGGCAGGCGGATCTCTGTGAGTTCAAGGCCAGCCTGGTCTACATAGTGAGTTCCAGGTCAGCTGGGGCTACAGAGAGACCCTATCTCAAAAAGATCCCCCCCCCAAAGAAAAAAGCTGATTCATGCTCAAAAACACCTAGTTCACTGGAGGCTAAACTAAATGTGACGCAAAGTCATTAGATTTGTAGGACTCTTTCTGCTGTGTCACAATGTGTATTTATAAAATGTTTATATATTATAATTTTTTGACCTGTGTCGTACGTTCTTTGAGGTTGGCTTGCCCTTACTCTCATGCCATGTAACATGTAACGACTCAGTTTCCCCACTGCTTTCTCACTAGAACACTGCAGCGCCTTTCCTTGTGTCAGGCTCCTGACATGCATGTGGAAGTAAACCAAATGCAGGAGGTGCCAGACCTGAGCCAGCTTCATGAAGGCCACTCGGAGAGCATAGATGAAGGTCACTAAAATACTGCACAGAAAGCTTCCATGAGAAGCACTGATATAGCCAGGTCTTAACCTACAGATGTGCTGGCATATGCTGGAGCTCGCCTAGCTAACTGGAGCCAGGACAGAGTTGTGGACTTGCAGTGGCTTGTGTTTCATCATGTGCTGTGCATGTGCGAAGTACTGACTGTTCACCACATTCATACATGTTATGTTTTACTTTCCCACAAGACTCATGTATGTATCCAGCAAACTGCTCTGGAGCTGGTTGGCCGAGGCATTGAGGTTCATATTGTTGCTGATGCCACGTCGTCCAGGAGTATGATGGACAGGATGTTTGCTCTTGAGGTACTTTTCCTACTTGAAAATAAGGGGTCATTATCAAGTTTTCTGGAAAATTAGGAATGTTGAGTATTCAATAGTAATGGAAAACTGGCCTTTTAAATTTAAGCTTGGTCCAGTAATATCTGACCCTTTCATTTCCAAAGTCATAACGTGCACTAACCGACCTGTGAGGCTCACCACCTTTCCTGTTTTACGTCTTGTTTCCTCCTTAGGGTTAGATTGCTAGGGATGCCAGCAGTTCTCCGATACTTTCATTGTCACTTCACTCTAGTGTTACGTTTGGACTAAAATTCTCTGGAAGCCCGATCTGAATCGTTACAGAGATTTTCAAAGTAGAAGCACTTCACTTGGGTTTAACTCAGCCAACATCTCACTCATCACTGGGGCAGAATGAACCTAGGCCTGGGTCAGCCTTGTGTTAGGTTTCCTCAGATGTGTAACTGTCTGTAAACATGACCCACATATCCATTTCACAGCCAACACTAGAGCTTCAGGACGTTAGCCGGAGTCAGGGAATCCAGGACTCTCCCAGCCTTGCCTGACAACAGTCTCAGCTTCAGAATTTCTATTCTAAGACCACTGAGGCTTCCACAGAGCCCAGGAACTTTGACTCCATATTGTATGTGGATGTTTCTCTCATACTTAATTCTAATTCACTAATAATTTTAGACTATGTACATGTGAATTGAATTTCTGAATTGTTTAACTGTTCATTTTTATCAAGAATGAGAAATACAGGGGCCTGCAAAATAGCTGAGTGGGTAAAAGGGCTTGTTTGCAAGCCCAGTGATCTGAGTTTAATCCCTAGATCTCACAGTGAAAAGAAGAACTGACTTCCAAAAGTTATCCTCTCACCTCCACACGCACACCCATGTGCACATTAATAATAAATAAAACAAAAATCTTTTAAATTTATAGAATGAGAATTATGGGAGGGGTTTGTTGTTGTCTGAGATCCTGTTCTGTGTACCAGCTGGCCTGCAAACTGCTCCCTGTGGGACTGCTTAAGTCACCTCCATAGCCTTAAGTGCCCTCCAGGGTACAGAGGTAGAGGACAAAGGCCACCAGCCTCAGAACGGCTGAGGTTAGCCACGACTGTTCAAGGCTGCTCAGCCTCATTTGTTTTCCTCAACCATTGGGTTCCATGTTAGGATTACAGGTAGAATTTTATTTTGTTAAGCTGTTTTAAAGCCCTTTGGAACTATTGGATTTCCTGGTCTTTGATAAGTGTCACTTCTTCCCATCTCAGCAAAGACCTGCGAGCTCTTAAAGCTCTGAGCTAATCACCTTGTACTTTTCAAGCTCTTTACCTGAGTTTCTTTGACTGTCAGGCCAGCCTCCCTCAGCTGTTCTTTCTCATGAACAGCTTTTCTGTGATGCTAAACCCCCAACCTGAAATATTTCAAAGGAAGCAAATAATCTAAAGCCATACAAACAAAACAAAACCTTGTTCTGTGAAGGTATTTCAAGGACTTTCTCCTGTATTCATAATGCAGTTTTCAGGCATGTTTGTCTGTATTGTGCCATATATAACTAAAAATGTTGACTTTTAGCAATTCCGTCTTCCACAAGATTCAGATTAAGAATATAGCCAGCTAATCACCACCCAAACCTGATACTCTCACAGGCCATCTGTCCTCACGATGATTAGTATTCCAAAAACAGTGGGGCGGTACTGTTGGCTTTACTGTAGGGTAAGTGTTTAATAAATGTGTGTCCTTGAACATGTTAGCAGCTGCGTCAGATCTCATTGTGAAGTAGAAACAATACTAGCTAATCCAGCATAGTGTTGTGAGGCTTGAGAGCCTGTGTTTAGAGCACTTTGCCCAGGGCTTGGCTTAGTGAGCACTCGGGGCTCTCTGTGAGACCAGTCTTATCAGAGTGGATAAGCTTACCCAAGTCCCAGCAAAGGTTAGCCCTGAGATGTTCTCAGATGGTAAGGAAAGAGTGTGAACACAGAAGAGCCTCCCTGGGGCTGCAGCATTGAGGCTAAAGGGAGAAAAGGATCTCTGCAGGTCAGGTGGGCAGGGGCTGGCCAGTGCTTGCCAGGTAGGAGGTCGCTCCTCTGTGTCCTTATGGAGGTGATATAGTTTGTCTCCAAAGCTTTTGGAGAAATACTGTTTTCTCTCTTTCTTTTTTTTTTTTTTCTTTCTATGAATTGAAAGTTAAAATAACACCGTGGCCAGCTTCCCCTCTTTATTTCCCGAGAGCAGGATTACTCAAGATGATTCCTATTCATATTGCCTGTTAAATTTATTACGTTTACAAGATTTATAGTTAGCAAGCATCAGGTCTGTGGCATGTGCATTATTCAATGAGTTTCCTTGGAACCTGCCATCTGTCAGGCACTGTCACTTTGAAGTAATAATTATCCAAAATTGCAGACTAGGTTGCTGTACCACCCTGGAAGTGCCTGATCTTGTCTGATTTTGGAAGCAAAATTGTGTAATAAGATTGATCAATCCTCTATGAACTTGGTGCCCTTGTACCGATGTATAGTTTTTGTTGTTGCTTAGACATGTCATGGATTTGGTACCCCATCCACAGCTTCGTCTGCTTGCATTTTTTGATTTCTAGTTCAGGGAAGCTGTCCCTTTCCTTTGGCCCAGTTGGAATGGCTCTGCAAGTATAAGGAACGTGCTTGCCTAACTCCCCATTTTAACCCAGGAGAGAAAATGGGCCTGGGACCTACTACAGTGAGTGAGGGAGTGGGCAGGGACCTCTGTTTGTACTGCTGCTGTGCGTGCTCAGGCACCTCCCAGGCTGGGTGGATCAGGCACTATGCCAAGGTCTAGGAACCTGTTCTACAAGCTTTGGCATTTGTTGCACCACACTTTCCCCCACACGGGTTCTTGGCTCAGTTATTTTTAAATCCAGTTTGTATTGGTCACATCTTAGTCTTGAGACCAAGTGGCACTGTACACCCCAAGATATTTCTTGTCCTGAGCCTTCCAGGCTTCCCCTGCCACTGTGACCTACCACCCAGCATCACCAAAGGTTGTTGAGGTAGACAGATAAGGCTCTGGTCCACATAGTTCTAGAAGAAGCTGTGCTTGGAAGCCAGGTATTCCTGGTTCACAAGATTTCTTCCTCAGTTGTGGGAAGTTTTCTTCTCTTCCTGCTTCATTATGGAGCTAGAAAGATAAGTGACAACTACCCGTTGTTGGCAAGAGGTAGTGTGCGAAGCACTTTCATAGACACTGAGGTCTGTGATTTGGAGTTACATAAACCCTTGAAAGTCCCTTGATTTAACAATAAGAGGAAGAGGCAGGGAGCCTGGGGTGTGAACTGAGCTTGATGGAGCAGATGTTCAGGACCACTCCCACAGTGCTGGCCTTTTTCTAATCTTGCTTTTCTGTCTGAAGCAAGCATATGAGGTTTGGACATTACAAGAGTTTCAGTATGGGGCTGGAGAGATGGCTTAGCAGGTAACAGCACTGGCTGCTCTTGCAGAGGACCTGGGTTTGATTCCCAGCACCCACATGGCAGCTAACAACTGTCCATAACTCCAGTTCCAGGGGAATTCAATGCCCTCTTCTGACCTCTACGGGCACTGCATGCCCCAGGTGCACTTACACACATCCAGGCAATAGAGTCATACACACAAAAGTAAAAATAATACTTTTGTAGTTTTACAAAAGTAAAAATAATAAATTATATATATATTTTTGTTTGTTTGTTTTATTTTGTTCTGTTTTTGAGACAGTGTCTCTGTGTAGTCCCATCTGGCCTGGAACTTACTATGTAGACCAGGCTGGCCTCAAACTCACAGAGATCTGCTGCCTCTGCTTCCCGAGTGCCGCCATGTCCATCATAAATAAAAAATTTAAAAAAATAAAAAGTTTCAGTATGATAATCAGTTGACTAAACTCAAGGAGTAGGACATTAGAGTTTCAACTCTTAACGAACAGATAAATATATATATAAAACCGTGGGGGCTGGAGAGATGGCTCAGCATTTAAGTGCACTGACTGTTCTTACAGGGGACCCAGATTCAATTCCCAGTACCCATATGGCAGCCAACAACCATCTGAAACTCCAGTTCCTGGGGATCTGATGCCTTCTTCTGACCTCCATGGTCATTGCATAACAAGGGTGCACTTACATACATGCAGGCAATACACTCATACGCATAAAATAAAAATAATAAATGATATATTTAAAAAACAAAAACCCCAACACCTCTTTCCCTTCTCATCCCTCTCCTTGCCCTCCTTGAGAGTTTTGTTCTATTAGTAGGACTCTGCTGGAGCAGCCTGGCAAGGTCATTCTCTCAGAAGAGGCCCTGTCAGGGAACTCACAGCCTTCACTTTCCTACCCTTGTGTTCAGTGGTAGTTCCATTATTACCTGGGCAGATTCTCAGACCTCACGTGAAGCTCTTCACTTCTGCCAATCACCCCTAGATAGGAGAACTCTAAGGGCTCACAACCTATATCTCAGGTTTGGGGGGCCAGAATAAGAATCCTTATTTTAATTCTTATAATAGTATCAATGCAATTAAAATTCTATTTTTATGTAATTGGTAGTTATTTAGTAATGAAATATTCTAGATGGCTATAATTATACCCACAGCAGAGATTACTTTTAAATAAATAGATTCCAAATGTCAATCATGCCATGCATAAGTATTCATATCACCATAGCCTCCTAATTTCAGGTGCACAGGGCAAATGTGGGCGTTGCCTCTTTTGTTCTTGGTGTTAGAAATAAAAATAAAGCAAAATTTGAAGTCAACAGCAGTCCCCATTTGAGAGTGAAATGAGAGAGGAAGCCAGGGTTACAGTCCTGAGAACCACTCTCCTCGTTCTTGTTTTACAGCCACTAGCCTGGATTACTTGCCTGCCCTGCACCTATAAGTAAAGATCCTGGTTTCCTGTTTTCCTGTACTTGTTTGTAGTCATTTTATTAATAGCAGGTCATAATCACAGTGAGTTTGCAGTGTAGCTGGTTTTAAAAGCTTTCTCCATCACTGGTTTGGCTGAGGACTGTGTTTGAAGAGGACCCTGATTATGGTCCTGACACTTCTGCTGTTGTTAGCTTACCTTGTCCTGTTTGCTTCTTGTCTTTACTTGTTTATATTTTCTTTAATAGCGTCTTGCTCGGACTGGAATCATAGTGACCACAAGTGAGGCTGTTCTGCTTCAGCTGGTAGCTGACAAAGACCATCCGAAATTCAAGGAAATTCAGAATCTAATTAAGGCGAGTGCACCAGAGTCTGGTCTGCTTTCCAAAGTATAGGACATTTGGAGGATCGGGATCACCACCAGGTGACGGACTGAAAGCCCAGACAGGCTCTTGTCTCTACTAGAACTAAAATGTTAAGTCAAAGCGGCTCTTTTTTTTGCAGCTCTTAGAATCATTTAACTGGCTAGACCGTTTGGGACCAGCATTTAGTTACAATGTCAAGGCTTCAGGTGCTGCCTGCCTTCTTTTTTCATAATGGGCTTTGATTTATTGAGACACAGTTACAGTGGAGGTGCCTGTTTTGTCTACACTGTGTCCTCTGACCATATCTTTTGAAAGTGCACCCTCTGGTGAAGTTTTCTTAAATTGTGCACTTTAAAGAAAACATATGTACCAATAATGATTTGATTTTTATATCATGGTGGTAATGCCAGTGTAGACCCAGTGCTTTCACTCCACAGGCTGACATGGTCCTGTGTGTGAGTTGACAAGCAGGACTCTGGGTCACATACTTCTTTTCTCACAGGGTTGTTGAGTTGCTTATTGAGAGAATTGCATTGACTTAACCAGAGCAAGTTAAATATTGTTTATCATTCTTGATTGTACTGATTTTCTTACCCTGGCTACCGTTTTTGTTGATTTTCTTACCCTGGTTAATGTTCTGTATTAATGTTCTTTTTCTGCTGAATGTTTTAAGTCCTCATTGGTTCTTTTAATTTTGTAAACGGAGTTATTCACAGTGCTGGGTAATTGATGGTGGTACTCTGTAATATCACCGATGTAGGGTGATAACCGCATGTCTTCAACTTTCAGTATACACAGGACTTAGGGGAGAAATAAAGGCTGGGTAAAAGTGTAGTGTTAAAATGCCCGTATTCTATTTCATATTTTCTCTCCCTGACCTTCAAATAGTGTTGTTAATACAGAAGGCATAGGTAGTGATTGAATAGTACCAATCCTATGGTCATTGTTACCCATCAGTAAATTTATTTTCATTTAATAATTAATGTTTAAAAACTTTTTAAAAACATGTTGTGAAATGTGGAACATTGTTCTTTGTATTAAAGAAAATGTATTATGTGACTGAAGTTGTTTTGCTTCCCATAAAGATGGCTTTATGAATACTATTCTGGGAATTCTAAAATTTACTCAAAGGTAATAAACTTGAGATTCATAATCTTGCCACTCATGGTTGTTTTCAAAGGCGAATCCTTGGCAGGTGGGGATCAAGGGTTTGCTGCAGGGCTGTCCTAGTGGTTTCAGAGCTGAAGGAATGTCTTTTGTTTGGGGGTTGTGGTAAGAGGCAGGAGGCCAGCATTCTTCTTAATGTGTTCAAATGTTTTCTCTAGAGAGTATGAGGCCCGGAAAGAAGCATCAGATACTGTTGTATGTTTTAAAATAGTTTTTAATAAATTTAATCTGGTACTTTTCAGACTTTATTTGGAGATCTTGTTAAAATACTGACTCCAGTTTAAAAAAAAAAAAACAAAAACCCACTTTTCTACCTGTGACACATGGACTTAACTCACAAAGAGGGGGTTTCCCTCTACTTCACCAGACCTCTCAATGAAATACAGTGCACAATGAAGCCTCCTCCCCATTGAGCAGCTCCACCACCCTGGTTTAGTTTCCTGTGACTGTCTTAACAAATTACCACAGATTCAAAGTCTTAAAACAACAAACTGGGGACTGGAGGGATGGTTCAGTGGTTAGGAGCACTGGCTGCTCTTGCAGAGGATCCAGGTTCAATTCCCAACACCCACATGGCAGCTGACAGCCATCTGTAACACCAGTTTCATGGGATCTGACGCCTTCTCTGACCTCCACGGGCATTGCACAACACAGGTGCACTTACATGCAGGAAAATACACTTGTACACATAAAATAAAAATAATAAATATTTAAAAAACAACAACAAACTGTTTGATCTCTCAGTTCTGTAGAAGTCTGAAATAGAGCTCACTGGACTGAAATTAGAGCCTGTATTTGTAAGACTGTGGTCTGTTCTGGAGCCTAAATAGGGGATGATGCATCTAGTCTGACTCACATTTTTAGCTTTTTAGTACTGTTATATCATCTTCTTAGGCAGCAAGTGTGAATCCAATCCTTAGAGCCTCTGACTCTTCCTCCTTTTGTCTGGCTTGATGTCATGTAATATAAGGTCTCCTAATCAACAACCTATTCTATCTGCAGCCTTAGTGCCTTTGGCCTGGTACATATTCACAGGCTCCGTGATGCTCACGGGCATCTTCAGAGGCCATTCTCTTAACAGACCCCACCCAGCAAATGTGAGTTGAGTTAAATCGCATCCCGCCCAGGGATGTTATCTATTAAAGCTCTGAAGAATCATGGATCCTGCCTTCTGCTTTTTTGTAAGTCTTACCAAGAAGGTAGCAAGGCTTTTCTTTATGATTACAGGAAAACTGAATTGATTGTAATACAGTAAGTCTTGAAATGGAAGCATCTCTAACTTTGTTGGAAAATGAAATTCGTTTGGTTGACATAAATAAAGAACTCGAGAGGGAAGACAGGAATTGTCTGGTGCATTGAATCTCAGGGGTCTATGAGCAGCATAGAGGGGCTTCATTACTGAGGTTCACAAGTGTCTGTACAAATTTAATCTAAAATTAAATGATAATTTACTCCAGCCAGAAAACTAAATGCCCTGTTAAGCCCATTTTAAAAAATAACACTTCTCTATTAAATGGACTGTTTTCCCACTTTCTCTTTCAGAACTGATATTTGGGCCAGTATGACCTTAGAGCTGGGTAGAATTATAAACTCTGATCCCAAAGGTCCATTTTGGTTCTAAAAGTCCAGAATGGCTTTATTTTACAGATGGCAGCCAGTGGGACACAGGGATAAGTGAGTTTTCTAAAGTTGCACAGTAAGATGCGCACCAGCTACCTAACACCTGGCCTGTACTTCCTCCCATTAATTGGTAACCCTAGGGATTATCAGTGTGGAAGAACAGTGGATGTGCCCAGGAGAGGATCCATGGAACATTGTTCTGTGTGGATTAGCTGGACTCCTGGAATATCTTCTCTGATCCCTGTCTCTGTGATTTTCAGTATGGTCTCATTTCTTTTCAAATGCACATTTTCCCAGCTAATTTGAGGGAATGGATAACAATATGAGAATAGCTGTTTTCATTATCAAGTAACTCCAAATCAGTTTTTTTAAAACGGGGTGGAGAGATAGTTCAGTGGTCAGGAGCACTGGCTGCTCTTGCAGAGAACCTGGGTCTGGTTCCCAGCACCCACATGGCAGCTAACAAGCATTCATAGCTCTAGTTTCAGGGGATTTGATGCCCTCTTATGGCCACTGTGGGCACTGCACCATACAATTGCGCTTATATGAAGTACAAGGTTTTAAAAAGATGAGTGCCTCTTTAGTCTACAAAGCATTGCTGTTGCTGTTTAACTCTTGATTTGAAAACCTAGCCAAGTCATAATAATGAAGTGCATCCATTTCCTAAAATTCAGATGAAGTTTTTAAATACTTGAAATTGACTTAAAATTCTTACATCTGTGTTTATCTTTTATATTCCTTGGTTTGACTTCTTGTGTGTAGGTGAATAAAGGTTGTTTTATCAAGAATACTTATTTTTAGAACACAAGATGCTTGAAATTTTCTGAGAATGGATCTTAAGTGGTTTTTATCACACACACACAAGTGTGAGTTAATGGGTATTTTGTTTTTTGCAAGTGTATGCAGTTAGCATGCCTGTGTATGTGTGTTCAAATGTGTGTGGGCACGTGTGTGTACAGGGGCACTTGCATGTATGTGCACCTGCATGTGGAGGTCCCCAGGTTGACATTGGCAGTTTTCCTCAGTCATTCTCTACCTTTCTTATTAAGGCAGGGTCTCTCCATTGAGCCCAGAGCTCACTGGTTGGGCTGGTCTAGCTAGCCAGCTTGCTCGCAGGATTCCCTGTCTCTGCCTTTCAAGAACTGGACTGAGAGGCAGGCCACCGTGCCCACCCAGTGTCTGCTCAGTTTGCAGGGCAAGTGCTTTACCAACTGAACCCTCTCCTGGCCCTGATGATGAATATTTTGATTAGCTTTGTGGCTTTGTATCACAATGTATACATTTATCAGAACAGCAGTAAACATATTCTGCTTTTATTTGTCATCCATGTCTCAGCTGGAAAAGCTCAGGATGCAATCAGCATTTATATGCTTAAAGTATCTTTTTACTTGCATTGTGTAACTGGCCTATCAATTCCTATGAAAGAGATTATAGTCCTGATTTACTTGCTGTAGGGAACAGAATTCTGAAATGACCCTTAAAATCCCCACTTGCCTAATATGCAAACAGCTTCTCTCCAGCGCTGATCTAGGTTCCTAGGTATAGCTGTGGAGAGTGTTTGCTGAGGTTATTAAGTTTTCAAAGCAGCTTCATAGGGACTCTCCCTTGGCAGTGCTCACCTAATCAAGTGAGCTCTGTTTTATTTTTATTCTTTTAAAGGGGGTTTGAGCTCTTTCTGGCAGAAGAGAGGTAAAGTATGGTAGGGTTCTACCATGAGGGGGGGTGTCACTGACTTTGAGAATGGAGTGAGGACACAGAACAAAGATGTGGGTGTCCTCTTAGAGGACTGCAGCCTTCTAGAAACCATCTAGGACATCTGTTGTACACCAAGGGAGCTTTATTCACCTGAAGGAGCTCAGAAGGTCTTCCTCAGAAGCAAGTGTAGCTGGTACCCTAATTTCCCCCAGTGAACTGGTAACCCAGGTGGCTGTGAACCTCTGACCCTCCGGACTTCCATAAAATCTGATTGTGACCATTTGCTAAACAGTAACTGAAAACTAATTCACTAGGTTTTCAGTTTGTTGCCTTTAAAAAAAAAATGTAATTTATCAGTCTTGCTCACTTGTAGAGAGCTATTTTATTAAGCACATATGACCTCAGGTAGACATTAGGCCTCAGTATTTGTAATAAAGTGAACTTTTTCCCCTACTTAAAACATCATTATTTATTTTTATTTTTAAATATTTTATTTATTTTTTAAATTTTATTTGTATGAGTATATTGCCTGCATGTATGTTTGTGCACCCATGTCGTGTTATACCCACAGAGGTCAAAAGAGGGCATTGGATCCCCTGGAACTGGAGTCACAGACAGTTGTTAGCCACCATGTGGGTGCTGGGATTCAAATCTGGGTGCCCTGCAAGAGCTGTCAGCGCTCTTGCTGAGCCATCTCTCCAGCCCCAAAACATCATTTTTTTTTTTTTTAATTAAATACATTTAGCTAGAGAACTGGGCTTACTTACTTTTTAATGTTAATAGTGTAGTGGATGTCTATGCTGTGATTTGCAGATCCTGGATATTTATTTTTATATGTATGGGAGGTATACATGATGTGAAACTACCAAGAGGATCATAATGAGAGAAGATCATGGGGGAAGAGGGTAATAGAATACACATGTGCAGGAGAGGAAGTGCCAGGCTTAAGCACAGGCTGCACTAGAGAACACAGCTTCCACTTGGAAAGTGCAACCCGTGCTTCTGCAAAATAGCCAAGCTACAATCTGCCTGGATGAGGGGATCTATCAGGAAGTGACACACCAACTTATCGGACACTTGGGGCAGGGGTAGAGATATATAAGGTTTGCACTTTGCACTTCCCAGCAATAAACGAGACTGCAGCACCTTGCCTAGTGCCTGCACAGACTCCCGGTGTCTGTGTGTTGACTCCACGCCTCTCACCCCCACCTCAGCCAGAACCCTCACTTCCTGCAGTCCCTCATGGTCTGGACCCATGAGGAAACCTGCAACAGCTGGCGCCCGAACAAGGTTCTTGGCCCCCCCAGCATTGGCAATACCCCCAACTTCAGTTCCTTTGGTGAGTAGGCCCCGTGTTTTATCTGTCTGTTCAGTTGCTCAAGAGTGAGCGAGTGGCCCCCTCCTCTGTCCCCTCTACCCTGTTTGTCATATTTGTTGTTAAATCAGGAAGGCACACTCCGCCGCGTGGCCCCAAAGCCCACGTCGGCACCTTTCCCTTCTCAGCTCGTGCCGGTGAGTTCACATAAGGACTGATCCACCCTGAACTCAGAGCCCAAGATTTGGGTCATCCTGTTGCCTGTCCTGGAGACACCATGTGAGCATACAGCTGAAGGGGTCATGGGCTTCAGAAGTCTCTCACTAAGCACAAGACATTTGGATCTGATACACCTT